TTTCACCGTTCTTGCGGACCGACGCAGCTGACATCGTGGTAATGGTAACTCAGCCCGGTCTTAAAGCGCAGATCGGTCGGGCTGATTAGCTGGTCCGTGAGCTGTGTGGCGTCGACGCGCGTTGACAATTAGGCCGTTCTCCAATCGATAGTTGCCCGGGCCAAGCGCACGGTCGATGAGCACTTGAGCGGAAAGCGAAGGTGTGCCTTTCTTTGTCACCCTACTTTTGACGCGAACGTATGTGCAGGGCTACATTGGTATCGATGATTTAGCCTGAGAATTTTGGTAAGATACTATGCGATTTGAAACTTCGGCATCTCTCGCTGATAAAACGTTATGTGCAGCCTTTAACTTTGTGCGTAACGGCCTTCCTAGCATCAGCTCCGCTCGCGTTCTTCCGGTGGCTCTGTGGTCATATGTTATGTAGGAAAATACCGCGGTTAAAACTGCATCCTCCTAGTCCGAACCTCCTATGCGTATGGCTTGTATAGCTTCCATTAGAGACCGGTTTAAACGCTCGCCCATGCCGTTGGCTGCAGGATTGTAGGGCGCAGTTATGGAGTGCCTAATGTTATGGCAATATAGAAAATCTGCGAATTCGCGGCTACAAAATTGTGGCCCGTTATCCGTTACTATTTCATGCGGTAAACCGAAACGACTGAACAAGTGTTTAAGCAGACGTAACACAACCGAAGTAGTAACTTGGTCACACATGTGTACTTCAAGCCATCTACTGTAAAAACATGTAGCAACAAGTAGATTTCGCTTATTCGTAGGAGCAGTAGCGAAAGGACCCATAATATCAATAGCGATTTTGGTCCATGGTTTCATCGGGTAAGCAATTGGCTGCGTCGGGGCTTTAACGGGCAAAGAACTTTTGTCCGTTAATCGGCAAGCATTGCAATTGATCACAAATGTCACAATGATAGATGCCATTCGTGGCCACCAGAAAAAGAGTCTCACTCGACTTTTAGTCCGAAATATACCTGCATGTCCCTCTTGGCTATCAACTGGGGCGGCGCTACAAACACCGAACCACGCATCAGGCAACTATCTACCACTGATAGTTAATGTCGGATTGCATAATACGGAATGAACTCACCGGGGATTTTGTTATTCTTGGGCCAGCCCTGTTGCACATATTCAATGATCTCATGCAGTAAAGGATCGTTAGCATTTTCCTTTCGTAGTTCCTCGATCGTCAAGGCAGACAGGTTAGCTCCGAGACTGGAAACTAGTACCGCCTCTCTGAGTCTCTCTTTTTCATCTTCCAACCCCACGGGTAAGTGAGATAGGCCGTCAGCAATCTGATTTTGCAAACCTGGCAGGTACACAATTTCAGAATCGTAGTCAAGGAGCCTGGCATAACAGCGATCGATTCGCATTGGGCGAGATCCTTTAGATGCATTGCTGAGAAGGCCTGTTAGGGCTGAATGATCAGTACGCAGAATAAAACGATGATCGAACAGAAATAAATGCTACTTTTCGCAGGCCCACACACATGCAAGAGCTTCTTTTTCCCCAACTGAGTAATGACGTTCGGAATCTGATAACTTTCGTGGTGCGTAGGCAAGAACTTTCTCATCTCCTTTTTGTATTCGTGAGAAGACAGCTTCGATACTGACATCAGATGCATCAGTGGACACAAAGTGCGGCAAGACTCGTCAAAAATGGCAAGTAAGGGGGCAGACGCAACTCTCCTTTTCAGTTCATCAAAGGCATTTTGCTGATTGCTGCCCCGACCGAACGACGATTCTTTCTTTGTTGGCTGTTGCAATGGATCTGACACAGTCGCAAAATCCGGCAGATAGCGCAGGTTATAAGAGCACATTCCTAAAAAGGACTTTAGTTCGGTCAGGTTTTTGGGTGTTGGCGCTTCAGACATGGCCCTGCTGTTTTCATCACTTGGTCGAATGCCACTGCGTGAAACAACGTGTCCCAAAAACTGAATTTCTGGTGCATTGTAGAGACATTTTTCTGCGTTCAGACGCAAATTGCGATCACTGAGGCGCTGAAGGACTTTGTGTAGCCTTTCATCATGTTCTTCCTGTGAGCGGCCGAAAACACAAATATCATCCATGTAAGCAACCTGCCCATCGATACCTGCCAGGGCGTGAGTCATGAACTTTTGCCAGGCGGCGAGCGCGGAACTCAAACCAATGGGTAAGACACTGTACTGAAATAGGCCATCAGGAGCAAGGAAGGCAGTCAGGTGTTTGGAATCATTGGCCAATGGCATATGGAAAAGTGCACTTTTCAAATCTAGCTTGGAAAAAACAGTTGCACCAGCTAAACGTACAGTGAGTTCATCATTAGATGGTAAAACAAAGCGCTCTACGACGATCTGTTTGTTCAGGGCCTGCAAATTGTTGCATATCCGGACAGTACCGTCATTTTTCATGACACAAACCATTGGATGCACCCACTCAGAGCAGTCGATGGGTTCAATCAAATCATTTGATAGCATCGCTTGCCGGGCTGCTGAGACCTTTTCACGTTTCGCTAGCGGAATGGGTCGAGGTTGACCAATAGCGATCGGTTTTGCTTTCGGTTTCAGCTGAATTCGATGCACACCACATGGAATACAGCTGATGGACTTCTGGAAGAGCTTCGAATAATGTTCCTGACAGTGTGCTACGTTGACGGAAGAGATAAGCATGCGGTCGAATGATGGTACAATATGCAAAGCGACCAAAGCATTCCTCCCAAGCAAGGGTCGTCTGTTGTCCGAAGAAATGTACACTGCGACATCGGCAATCCCAGAAAGCAACTGTCGAGGCACAATAATAAATCCCAATATGGTTAGGATGTTCCCACTATAACTCCAGAATGAATGTGAGGTGGGATGTAAAGTATGCTGTGATAGGTAACGTTCGTAAAATTGGAAAGGCACGTTCGTGACTGTAGAAGCAGAATCAAGTTCCATTTCCAATGGAACAGCACTTGTACCAGTAAAGAACAATACAGTACGAATGTCAGCAGCAGGAAACTTCGGTTCAACAACGGATATGGTTACACAACCTGAAGGTATGGAGTCAGCGGTGATTGAATAGTTATTGTCTTGAGTTGGATCGGTAACATGGCTTTCCGGTGTATCATCCTCTTTAATGAGCGCGACAGCCTGTGATCGACAACAGCGGGCATAGTGTCCAATTTTACCACAGTTTTTATATTTGAGGCTGCTTGCGGGACAACCGGCAAAATTCGCTTTGTGAGACGTGCTTCCACAACGATAGCAAGATAGTTTGTCTGTCGGACATTGCCGGAAAGATTGTACTCTCGCCACTTCAGCTAAGCTGGTGGAACAAAACTGCTTCGATTGCAACGAAATTTGTGTCTTTACTCGGGCTTATTCGCAAGCTGGATCCCACGTTAGTGTGCAAGCGTCTTCCTGCAATAGCGCCTCACGAATGCGATTGTCAGCCATTCCAGTGATCAGTTGGTGAGTGAGCATACAGCCTTCAATCTTTTTCTGTGGAATAGACGAGTAGGCACAGGGTCGTACTGCACGACTCAGCCGAGCAATGAAATGCTTCAAGGGTTCGCCTGCTTCTTGGTGTATTCGGGAGAAAATATATCGCGCGGTAAACACGTTCATATGGTAACTCCATGCACGGTCGAGAGCAGTGAAGGCGTCTATAACCGATTTGCATCCCTGTTGCACATATTCAATGATCTCATGCAGTAAAGGATGGTTAGCATTTTCCTTTCGTAGTTCCTCGATCGTCAAGGCAGACAGGTTAGCTCCGAGACTGGAAACTAGTACCGCCTCTCTGAGTCTCTCTTTTTCATCTTCCAACCCCACGGGTAAGTGAGATAGGCCGTCAGCAATCTGATTTTGCAAACCTGGCCGGTACACAATTTCAAAATCGTAGTCAAGGAGCCTGGCATAACAGCGATCGATTCGCATTGGTACGGCGTGATTACGTACCAGTGGGACGGTGAAATCTGATCAAATTAACCTGCAATTGCTCTTATATTACCAGTATTTTCAATATTATTATTAGTGATATTAGTACTTCAGTAACGAATCTCAGAACAGTGATCCAATTCTAATTTTCTAGTTATAGCAGTACACACTTTTTTCTTAGCGTGCATCGCAAAATATTCCACGAGTGCCATTAGTATGCGTTTGAGGAAACTAGGTTAGATAAGTCAGAACGTTAGCCACTTTTCTGAATGAATGTTCTCGCTGACATAATTTCAACTTCACTGAAACTATGCTTTGCCTATTACGCTCTTCAGAAAGCCCTCTCACTCTCACTAATCAGACCATACTTTGAGGAATTCACATCTAATCTGTATTATGTGAAATGTTTAATAGGCATACTTCTCAATACTCGTTCCGTGCGCGATTAACTGAATGTTATGCACCACTGAATCTAACTCATAGAGCTCTATTCCTACATCGCGTTTGGAGATTCTTGCCCAAGCAAGAGTTATACGCTGACCCAATTCGCTTGTTGTGTGGTAATAAAGTTATTCCAACACTTAGGGGACCTAAGACATCCAGCTGTCTTTGCTCCGTTTGCACTCAGTGAAAAGCATGGAACTATTTATAGCTGTTTCAACTGCCATTAACACGCGTCTTCGTGTATTGGCTTCGCAACTCGAACTTGTCCTTCCAGCTGCTCCAAAGCCTATTGCTCTCTTAGATGTTTTACAACTCGTTCCACCTCTGAAGTTTCAACGGGATTTCCCTGTGCCAAACTTGTTGCGGTTGCTTGTGCGCAGATATTGTTAGCTTTTAACTGCTTTACATTCCCGACAACAGCTATCTTCCATACCATTAAGTCTATCTGTACGGTTGTTAATTCAGTTCCTATCTGTTACTGTTTACCAGAAAATCCGTTTAGCAATCTTACAACTATGCCTAAGAATAACTATAGATTGAGTGTGTTTTGAGGTGTATAACCGTTGATACTTCACATATTGCCAGCAAATCCCCCACTTGTCCTGGCAGTAGTGACTCATCCCATGGTATTTGCATTGTTTTTCAGGCTGCGGTCGGACGCTTTTGGAGCCTTCGGGCACATTTGCCTCCCCCCAAGTAGCGTGGAAGCTAAATGGTGGTATGGCACTGGTCAATTCGTCCTATCTAATACCTGAACTTTCGTACCACTCCGGTAACGCACTATCAGTGACCAACTTACTCCCGGACGAAAGCCATATTCACAACATTTATACACCAATACATGGCAACCATATTGAAGGAATGGTAGACTATGGTCTTTCTGGTATGGTCAACGATCCTCGAATGAGTCGTGAGCATCGGTTGCAACCTACAAAGAATCCTCATGAATTTAACCGCACCGCGTCTGATAAGTTCACATTCACGGGTGAGGCATTCGTCCCGAAGTCTGCGGATATTTCGCCTTCTACACTGGGCTTCACATCTGCCGGACCTATTCTTTGTCAGTGGAGAATCAATGCAGCATCTGGCGAGAGAATTCGATTAAATTTCACTCACATGGACGTATCTGGACCTATTGAACACAGAGCTCACAAACCCACTCTGATATCTGGTTTACATGAGGATTATGCTCTGGCTTATGAACTGCGACAAAGATTGGACGCTAAAGCTACCTGTGCTAACGATTACATCGAGATTCGTGACGGATATTATTCAGGCTCTCGTTTATTAGGTGAGTGGGTGAAAGTGGTTAATACGGTTTCTTGCGTTGGTTTGTTTACCATCCGAATCAAAACTATTAATCACACAGCCACTCCTCTATAAAGGCAATTTTAATAAACCAAAAAATAAGTTTATTTGGTGATAATGCAATAAAACTGAGACAGTAGTAGCGGATTTGTTCACCCGCTATAACAGCAAGACGATACATAATTACTGTTTCCCTAATCTTTGATGCAGGGTGTGTGTGAAAATCCGTACGGTCGCTTTCTCTCTGATTTCGTATTCAGACCGGATTTAAATTTACAATCCTCATTGCGCACCTGTGTCTTTTACTAATAAAATCCTGCTTAACCAGAAACATTTAGAGCATTCTATCACTCAGATGTAACGTTACCTACATATCTTAGTTTTCTCATCCTTCCCGAGCCGTATTCCAAATCCCGGGTCACACCGTGAAATTTTTGGTCTCAAATGTAAGCCAACTTTTGAGTCTTCAACCAATGCTGTCGATTGACAAGTGAAATAGACATCGGGCAATTTGCGTTGTTTATTGCTTGATCGCTTTGTTTACACAGCAGAGTGAATCATTAACGGAAGAACCCGTCGCTTGAACCTGTCCGTAAAGCGCTATGCCACATCGCAATGTGTTAATCAAGTGCTGACATCGCACTCTGCAATTCATCGCGCTGGCGACAAACAGGCAACCATTCGCCGGCCTTGAGTTTCGGTAAAGCGCTCAACCAGTAAACTGAAGGGCATCGATCGACAGACACGTGATACAGTGGGATACAGCGATTAATTAAATGAAGCCGAGTCTAACACTACATGTATATTTACTTCGTGGCAGAAAATAAACGAACAGGAAGCTAGTGTTCCAATTATTCTTTCAAGTTTCTTTCGGAAGCTGCACAATGTCAGACCAGACTCTCTGTGGTTCTGTGCAGTATGTATGGTCATCACACCGGTAAAACTGTACATGAACTAGCTCAGCCATGCGAAAGACTAGTGACGAAGACTGAACGAATGAGGAACACCAAATATGCTCCAATAGAAAAAACGTGTCAGAAATCCCAATCCTCCGCAATAGGCTTTGTTGCGCAATAAAGGAAGGAGGCTGCGCATATGTGACATTCAACGTCACTCAGTGACCCAAACAAGTCTGAAGCAACCGCCGACACTCTAACTGGAATAACTAGGACGACGGTCTTGTCCACTATACAAACTATTCTGCCATTTCAGAAAGGCGTCGACATGATTGCTGATTGTAACTTGGATGTGGCATAAAGCACAAATAACAGGTTTTAACTTACTAGAACTAGACCCAAAATACATGGAGAGGGCGATCCTGTACTTAAACAGCCGCCACCGACTGAACGCAGATCATCGAGGTGGTCGAATTCAACTCAAGCTGCATAGTCAGTAAGAGACCACATAGTGTACCATCGATATTCGGCACTTACTTTCAGAATTTGCGTCAAATTAATTCAAAAGGAAACAACTCCAGGTCTTGAGCCAGTGGAGCTTCATATGTGACGTCCTAAAGTTTGTAACTAGGCACGCCAACTTGCAAAGAGTAACCTTTCATCCAAATTCAAAACACTACGGTTCAGCCAGAATTTTCCGAGTTGTATTGACTTCCGTCGTTGTAACAACAGAGGTTCTGCTGTCGACAGCTGGCCTCCGGCATGGGTCAGTCTCTATCTGCATCTACCGGGTTATTTAATGGATCAAGCGTAATCAGCCAAAGCATAATTTTGGAGGATACCGGAAATAATCAGTAGACAGAACAAGTATCGCACACTGTGTTCCCCTATGCTGAAGAATATGAAGAGAGCGAAACGACCACCCACGACTGGGAACAGCGGTGCTACATTCATGAGACTCTGTCCTTTGGAAACTTCGTGGCGCTGTCGACCACAAGGCTACACAAACTCCCAGTTACAAAGAAAGCGGTTCAAACTGTGAAGGTCGTGATTCAGTCCAAACCGATATCAGAAAGCGTATTGGCGAGATGATGTGCGTAGCGCAGCAGACTAGGTGCTGAGCTTCGGTTCACGAAAATATCCTCCAAGCAAAGTCATGCAATGATTACTTAGACCCATAGCTCTTGTGTGGAGGAGTGTTATTTGTTCGCCGAGCTAGGCAACGCTTTGTAGACGTTTCGCTGCCAAGCCGGGTAACCATCTCAAGGTGGCTAGCAGGATATGACTCACAGAGTCTCGTAGGCATCTTCCAGATCCAAGTCAGTAGTGATCGTCTCCTACTTTGAATGTCAATCTTTGATTTTTTCAAGTGGGACGGCTAAGTGTTTACGTCTTTTCACTGTCTATCTACAGTTGGCAAATTGTCATGTGGAGCTGATCTTGGTTTACGAAGCGCTGCGAATCAGACCCTGAAAGCCGCACTGAGGATGCTGCCTAGCATGACAACGAAAGACTTGCAACAAAAGTTCCCCAGAACGGAAAAAAACAACACTCTTGCACAAACTGAGCAAATTAATCCAGCCACATCCCGACAGAGGTTTGAATACCATTACAGATGGACCAACCGAGCGAGCCAGACAGCCAATGGGAGGCGTTATTAAAGGATTCGATTACTGACATGGTTTGGCCGACATCCGTGTTACTCACCGTTGGCCAAAGGGGTCAAAATAGGAGCCTCATTATCACAACTGGACTCTTACCGCAAGTACGTATTTCAACTCGTAGCGAATAAGCAAGAAGACGCGTCAGTCTGGCGCACAGTGTACTGAACACTTAACAGTTTACATGTGAGCACGGAACGTTAGGATGTGTCCTTGAGTGCGTGTGTGCGTGCTTATCTACGTGTGTGTGTGTGTAGGGCCAATCAGGTTCACGGTCATAGTGAGCGATCATTGGTTGAACACGTAACAGTCCTCCCTGTTTTGGCTGACGTTACAGTCATGGCTGAAAACGTTCGATCGGTTTGCGAATCCGGGTCGATCAACGTAATTGAGCTTCCCCTGTTATTCTGTGTTCGTCGTGCTCTGCAGCTTGCTCTGCGATCTCCGAGTGTGACTGACTCACGGCAGGTGTGTCAGTGCTCCTGGGGCGTACATGATCTGAGTGCCGGCGAACAAACCGGCCGTCCGGAAGCTGCAAATCGTTTTGACTTCCTGAAGAATCGAGCACAGTCGCCGGCTGCCAACATTGTTCATGCGGTAACCTGGTGTAAACAGGTTGATGGTCCTGAAATGTAACTTCCGGCTTTGATTCCTCTGAAGACACAAACTTTTTCTGACGCTCTTGTACTTCAACACGCGGGTTCGGGAACAACAAATGAAGCCTCGTTCTCAGATTGCTGCCGAACATCAATTCCGCCGGGGATTTCCCGGTAGCCTCAGTGGGTGTAGAACGGTATGAGAATAGGAAGCGATCCAGTTTTGTTCGCAATTTTCCCGTTCGCTGCTTTAGTAAGCCTTGTTTCACAGTTTGTCCTGCACGCTCCGCCAATCCGTTTGATGCTGCGTGATACGGGGCTGATTTAACGTGTTGGATTCCGTTGTTGGCTACAAATTTATCAAATTCGGCACTGGTAAAAGGTGAACCATTGTCTGTACAAATGGTTTCCGGAATGCCAAACGTAGCGAAGGACGAGCGCATTTTAGTGATGGTGGATTCGGCTGTCGCCTGAGTAACTGGATGTACGTCAATCCACTTAGAATGTGCATCAATAAGTAGAAGAAACATGGTCCCGTCGATCGGTCCGAAGTAGTCGGCGTGGATACGCTGCCAGGGCTTGTCGGGCCAACGCCAAGGGTGTATTGGACCTGGTGCCTTGCTCCACTGATACGCCTGACAAATATCGCAATTCTTCAGTAAGTTCTCTATGTTTGAGTCGATGTTGGGCCACCAGCAGTACCCTCTCGCTAGTGCCTTCGTCCTCGCCACACCTGGATGAGCATCATGGAGCTCTTTAAGTATCTGTGAACGCGTCTTGGTGGGAGGGACTAGACGAGAGCCCCAAAAAACACAGCCGTCGAATAGACTCAGTTCGTTCTTCCGAATCATAAACGGTTGTAATTCAATTGTCCCTTCAGGAGGCCAACCCATGTTCAAAAAGCGTTTCACCATTGATATCACGGGGTATCGATCCGTCCATTGACGGATGGTTGAACTCCGGATCGGTGTTGTGTCTAGATGTTGCATTAGATTAACCGGTTCAAAACGGTGGGTCGTGTTCATGTGCAGTTTCCGTGATCGGCAGACGGCTGAGTGCATCAGCTGTGCAGTTGCTGACGCCGGTAATATAAACAATCATGTAACTGTAAGCACTCAAGGTTATAGCCCATTTTTGCATCCTCGGTGATGCCATTTGTTGTATACCTTTGGTTTCCCCAAACAAGGATATCAATGGTTTGTGGTCTGTATGAAGCTCGAAAACGTTTCCCCATAAATACTGGTGAAACCTCTTAACTCCGAAGATAACGGTTAGCGCTTCCCTGTCCAGTTGTGAGTAGTTCTTCTCCGCCGTCTGTAAGGTGCGCGATGCATATGCTATTGGACGTAAAGAACCATCGTCCATGCGGTGGCACAGGACAGCCCCGACCCCCCAAGGGGACGCGTCGCACTGAAGTATGAGTGGCTTGTTAGAGTCATAATGGACTAACGTTGGTGGCGAAGCAAGAGCTTGTTTTGCTTTGTTTAAGGCATTTTTTGACGGGAACCCCAACACCACGATGCATTTTTGTGTAACAGCTCATTTAATGGCGATAGAACCGTCGATGCATTATGCAGGAAACGGCGATAGTGAGATAGCATTCCTAAGAACGAACGGAGTTCATCAAAACTCTTTGGCTCTGGGCTTTCTAAAATAGGTTTAACCTTGTCATTTAAAACATGTAAACCGTGGTTATCAATCCGGTATCCAAGGTAACAAAAGGAAGGTGAAAGGAACTCACATTCATACCTTTTCAAGCTGAATCCACTTCGCTCCAAACGCTCGAGCACGACCGCGAGTATTCGAAGATGCTCTGTATCCGAGCGTCCA